GTTCTCTAGGAGGATGTAGAACCCCTGACCTCTGTCTGGCCCTGTGCTGATCACATGCACTCTCCCAAGGGAAAAAAAAAAAACCTCTCTAGCAATACACACCAAACTGAGCATGTGCAGAATGTCGCCACACAATATGTCTTATCAGGAGATAAGAGGGGAGCACTGGAAGAAGGGGAGGATCAGAGAAGTCAGGATCAAACAGCATTTTGTACACAATGCAGAGGATTAACCCCTTAGGTTCCACAGTAAGTATATCAAGCATGCTTTCCTGCATCTACACACTGATTTTACTAATGTGGGTTTAGTAACACTTTAAAGTAAAATATTAAATTAAGTCAATTCACTAAAAAATGTGTTCTTTATCTCATGGTACAAGCAGTTGTTATTTTATGAATGTACAAAATAACAATGAGGGGAAATCTACAATGCCCAGTAAGTTAAAGTATACAATATATCAGTGTGGAAATGTTCTGCCCTGAGCTCAGTAATGTCAATAATATAGGAACATTTCCCTAGGAGAAGGCGCTCTAGAATGTTTTCATAGTGTCGATATTTCTGAGTGCCTTCATTCATACAACATTCTTCCTCTGGTGCAGACTTGTACGGCTTCCTTTATAAAGTCATTTAGCCGCATACACCAGATTCCAGCAGCAAGATTCTGTGAATTCTCGGAGCTGGAAGGACTGGTGCATGTGAATAGTGGCTGTTTGCATGGAGCAGCACACCACGGGGTTACCTGCAGTAAGAGATAGAGCCTAGATACAGTTATGCTGGCCATACACGGTTCAAATTCCAAATGATTTTTCATCTGAAAATCGAAAACGTAATTCGCTCTGTAATCCGATGGTGCCATCAATGATTTCGAAAATCTGCCAACCAAGTCATAAAGTTCACTCCATATAACAAGCGAAACTTCTGTTCCTTCCATTAGTTGCATCCAGGTAACTAGATGGTGTGCTGCTACATTGGAACGGGAGCAGCTGCGGTCAGCCTGTTTATAACGGCTGACAGTCCACTATAAGGCTCCATGCACACAGGACATTTTGATAATGCTGGTAACGCTAGCTGTGTAAAATCACGTTAAAAACACGAGTTTTTCATAGCGTTTTTGCATTGGCATTTTCCCGCATTGTTACGCGTTTGGGTTTTTTTAGCTTTTTTTTACCAAAAAAAAAAATGTTTTTGGTAAAAAAAAATCCAAAAACGCATTTTTCAGTGTTTTTGAGCGTTAGTGAGTTTTTACAGCTACAAAACTCCTCTAGAAACCCACTAGTACTGTTTTTTTTTTTTTTCCAGCCAAAAAACGTTGATTACAGTCTATGTGTGCATGGACACATACTGTAGGATAACATGCTGGGGGGTTTACTGGCTGTAGAAAAAAACATCAAAAGCCAAAACCAGCCCCTGTAAAAACGTCTGTGCATGAGGACTAAAAACGTCAAGTGTGCATGAGGACTTATTTGCAAACACCGCCTGCAAAAATCCATTGATTCCTGCCGCTGGAACTTGGTGTACAGGCTAATCTGCTGTGTGAAGGAGGCCTTAGTCTGTAAAAAAAAAAGGAATACAACAACGTCAAAATAAAACTAGATTAAGGTGCAAATTATCACAACATAAAATATTGAATGTATTTGTTAAATTACACTTTTTTTATGTTCATTGACTAGTTTTGAGAAAAATACTGAATGAGTTATTTACAAAATTCGATGTAGTATTTATCAGTTAGTGAATTGACACCTTTATATCTAGAAGGCAGGCATATCTGCAATATCCCATGCTGGCTTTGCTTTCTACGTATCCCAAAATCTGAATGCAACCTGTCCTGATACAGTCTATCCAGGGCTGATTTAACCATTAAAATAAAAAAAAATTAAAAATGGGGCAATTAACCTTGGCCCACCAGGTTACTGGAGCCAACTCACAGACTGCCAACAGTCCCAGGTTCTCGGGGTATAGCCAGCTATGCCCCGCAAAAGTCATACAAATCCACCTGATGCTGCATGACCTTTTATCTCAGACTCAACCTATGGAATTTGAGGGTCTGGTAGTCATTTTAAAAAAAGGGCAATATTTACCCTGCGTCCAACCATTTCTTAAAATGGTTTTGAGTTTTTCTCAAAACATTACAATGGAAAATAAAGGAACACTAAATTATATTCTTATTCTCCAAAAATAATCTATATATACATTCACTGCCTAATGGCTTCGTCCCTTGCAGAATGCGTGCAGAAAAATTGACGTCTCTGCACCATGGTGTGAGTGAGCCTTAGTGTACCCCCCAGCCAACGTCAGTTAGTGTCAGATTCCCCACCGCGCTATCTCAGTCCCACTATAAGTCGCTGGTCACCGCTATTACTAGTATAATTAATAAATAAATAAAAATTCCAGTATATATACTGTAGCTTGTAGACGTTATAACTTTCACACAAACAAATCAATATACTCTTATTAGGAAATTTTTTACCCAAGACATTAAGACACAGACATAGCAGAAAACATTTTTGCCTAAATTTGTGAAGAAATTAGATTTTATTTTTTTATTGGATATGTTTTATAGCAGAACGTAAAATATATTTTTTCAAAATTTGTCTTTTTTCCTTTAAATAATAAAAAAAAAAAACCCCAGTGGTGATTAAATGCCATGAAAAGAAAGCTCTATTTGTGTTAAAAATTATAGAAATTCCACTTGGGTACAGTGTTACGTGACAGTGTAGTTACCAGTCAAAGTAGCACAGTGCTAAATAGCAAAAAATGTTCTTGTTATGTAGGGGGTAAAACCTTCAGGTGGTCAAGTGGTTAAGTTCCTGATATTTTCTACATTTCCAAAACTTCTCCAAATAGCTTCTATGTCTGCACAACTCCACCACTTTACAGCAGAGATGCTTGCAACAGTTCTGCAAGAGTTGCGACAGATTCATATAAAGATTAGCAATATATCCAGTATATGAACCTATAGAAAGTGCTGCCATTTGTGGTTGTATCAAGAAGCTGATTTTTATAGAGTATCTATGACACCCTTTATGAATTCCAAGGACTGTAGTATGCTGGAACCCACATTCAAGAATAGGCTCTTAAAGCAGTGTAGAACATATACAAAGCTTTCATTATTTTCACTGACCCAATAGAAAAGGATTACCATCATCCATAAGATGCACCTAGATTTTAAAGGAGGAAACCAAGAAAAAAAAAAAATATTCTGAACCAATGGACTGCGGACATAGTACAGGAGATGACCAGAGACTGCAGACACAGTACAGGAGATGACCAGAGACTGCAGACACAGTACAGGAGATGACCAGAGACTGCAGACACAGTACAGGAGATGACCAGAGACTTCAGACATAGTACAGGAGATGACCAGAGACTGCGGATACAGTACAGGAGATGATGACCAGAGACTGCGGACATACTACAGGACATGACCAGAGACTGCAGACATAGTACAGGAGATGGCCAGAGACTGCGGACATAGAACAGGGGATGACCAGAGACTGTAGACATTGTACAGGAGATGACCAGAGACTGCAGATATATTACAGGAGATGACCAGAGACTGCAGACATAGTACAGGAGATGACCAGAGACTGCAGACATAGTACAGGAGATGACCAGAGACTGCGGACATAGTACAGGAGATGACCAGAGACTGCAGACATAGTACAGGAGATGACCAGAGACTGCAGACAGTACAGGGGATGACCAGAGACTGCGGACATAGTACAGGAGATTTATTTATTTTATTTATTTCAGGTACTTATATAGCACCATCAATTTACGCAGAGCTTTACATACATATATTGTACATTCATATCAGTCCCTAACCCTCAAGGGGTGTACAATCTAAAGTTCCTAACTCACATTCATACATATACATACTAGGGACAATTTAGATAGGAGCCAATTAACCTACCAGCATGTCTTTGGAGCGTGGGAGGAAACCGGAGTACCCGGAGGAAACCCACACAGGCACAGGGAGAACATGCAAACTCCAGGCAAGTGGTGCCGGGTTTGGGATTCGAACCAGCGACCCAAGTACTACCAGGCGGAAGTGCTAACCATTTAGCCACTGTGCTGACCAGAGACTGCAGATATAGTACAGGAGATGACCAGAGACTGCAGACACAGTACAGGAGATGACCAGAGACTGCGGACACAATACAGGAGATGACCAGAGACTGCGGACATAGTAGTACAGGGGATGACCAGAGACTGCGGACACAGTACAGGAGATGACCAGAGACTGTGGACACAGTACAAGAGATGACCAGAGACTGCGGACATAGTACAGGAGATGACCAGAGACTGCGGACACAGTACAGGAGATGACCAGAGACTGTGGACACAGTACAAGAGATGACCAGAGACTGCGGACATAGTACAGGAGATGACCAGAGACTGCGGACACAGTACAGGAGATGACCAGAGACTGCGGACACAGTACAGGATTCACAAAGCGCATGCGCAGTGGGCACCTGGCTGTGAAGCCACAAGCTGTCAGAGCCGGTTGCCCACACTGAAGATGCCGGCGCCGGAGAGAGAAGACGGCTGGTGAAAGCAGGATACCGATGGACCGAGGAACAGGTAAGACCGAGGAGCGGGTTTTTCTGCACAGTAGAGCCGAGCGGCCGGCCCAGTATTCTAACATGGCGGCGGGAATACCAGACCGGCTGCTTCATATTCACTCCATAAGATGCACAGACATTTTACCCCATTTGGAGGGGGGGGGGGTGCATCTGATGGAGTGAAAAATATGGAATTTACTGTATGGATCCTGTGATCATGATAGTCACATCCATGATTTTCCTGCAGGAATATAAAGTTGCAGAGCCATCAGCGTCAGGCACATCTGCATTGTTTAGCATCAAGGCTGGACTTTAGGTCATGGAGCTGTGGGGTCTATAGACAACTGAACCATAAATGATTCTGAACCAGAAGCCTTGCATTGTACATGCCTACAGAACAGTATCTGCTACACGGGACACGTGTTCATGGCTTACCTTTCCATGTAGTAAACTGTGATTGCTGATGATAATCCTTATGTAGATGGAGTCCGCGCAGGAAGTTTTGCTGCTGTCCATCTATCGGTCTGTTGGTCAGTACACCCTTCAGAAGCTGGTTGACTGTGCCGGGTGGGGTGAACAAACGGGTTTTCAAGTGTGCCGATTCTCTCCTCTGTAGGATGTCCTCCTTATCTGGAGGAATAAAAGAGGAATATATCATTACCCACTACAACGATTTTCAATGCAATACGGATATTGATTTGTTAAAGCTGAAGTTTACTCTGTTTATATTTTACCTTTCCCGATTCCTCCTTTTCCCCTCATCAATACATTGATGACATACATTTTTAAACAAAATTGATGTTTTCATTAAACATCGGTCTGGAGGAGTGAGCATTGATAGCAGACTGCATATGTGATGCTGAGCTTCCATGATTACAAGAACAGAAATCCAATGAATGAAAGGGGTGGCCCAGCTACACCATGGCTGGAAAGGAAAGATCTAGATCATGTGTGCTCAACCAGTGGGCCTCCAGGTGTTGCAGAACTACAAGTCCCATCATGCCTTTGCCTTTGGGAGTCATGCTTGTAACTGTCAACCTTGCAATGCCTCATGGGATTTGTAGTTCTGTAATACCTGAAGGGCCACAGGTTGAGCACCCATGATCCAGAAGATGATGCTAAATGTCCTTCAGCCTGGAAGTGAGATGGGCTTCATCCAACTTTCTGGAGGTTCGTCTACACACTGAGAGGTTCACAGTGTGCAATGAAACCAGACTATGCATTTAGTTAAACTGTAAAAGATTGGAAATAAGCCTGGAGTTCCGCTTTAATTTATTTCCAAGGTTTAAAGAAAATATTTGAAGTGTCTGAAAGAAGCTTAGATCTAACTGTCACAATATATACATACTTAAAATCAACTGGTTAGTGTGCTGCCTATGTACACAGAAAGCATATTTCACTTCCAAAGCCAGCAATTGGAGGGATCATTTACAGCAAGAAAGAGGGGGGCATACAATGAATAGAACAAGGCTGTTTGATCCTGTCTTCTCTGATCCTCTTCTTCTACTGTCCCCAATTCACCTGCTGATAGTACAGAGATCTAGGAGTCACTCTGCACATGCTCAGTTTAGCGTTTGATGTATATATTCACTTCACCAGTGCTAGCAATAAATATTTTCATCCAACAATCTAATAACCCAAGATATACCTATGTCCTTAACTCTGTCTTTCACCCAGTTGTCCCAGAAAGTATCCAGCTGTGTTGTGAGATACCACGTGTCCACCAAATTCAAGGAGAAGACATTTCCCCACAAGCCTACACAAAGAAGCAAAAAAAGACAATAACGAGATGGAGTGAATATCCAGAAAATGTCATACAACTTAAAGGCAAAGCAGAATATCCTTGTATTATTTTAATTATGTGCAGACTCAAATAAAAAACAACCCTATTTTTTTATGTGAAATATTTCCCATGCAGATTTCATATTTTTACTATTTGACTGCATTAGGTGTCTCCTTTTCACATGTTGACCAGGCTAACCTTAAAGCTGCTTTCACACTAATTCGTTTTTCTTCCGCTTTTGCATTAAAAAAATCAGAAGAAAAACATGTAACCATGTATTCCTATGGAATGCTTCACACTGATCCCATATGGAAGAAAAATATATTTGAAATATGTTTTAAAAATATTCTTCCCAAATATATTGCTATAAGGACTCGGTTCTAGCTCCTTAACAACCACCCTCCAGTGTCCCTAACAACCAATGAATAGCTGGTCATTAAGGAGCTGGTCCCGATAGCATGTCTAACAGCTATTCATGGCTTTATGTGCTCCATGCAACACATTTAACACATGCTATGGGGTTTTTTCTAAGTGCTGTAATGTAAAAATACATGCGGTGCAGTGTGAGAGAGAGAAAAAGAGACAGACAGACACACAAAGTGTCACAAAGGGAGAAGTTACTGATGTGCTCTGTTTATTCCCAGCCCAGAATGTCATACAAAAGCAGTTTCATGGGTGCACCACGTATTACATTTTTATTGACAAATTGCAGCACATTGATAATAAAAAGTTTGTCCAAAAATATGCCCCTTAAGACATCCTCTTATGAGGAAACACATCAAGTGTTATAGACACCAATGTAATTATGCTACACAGTCTGCACATGGACAAGTTTATATTTTGTCACGGCCATTCACAATTCATATGTAAGTGTATTGATATTCCATTCTCTCTAGGTATGACCGATGAGGATTAGGAAGAGGCTTGTTCATCACATCTCAACTATTGGGGGAAATGTACATATCAGGCATATATTCCCTTATGAAAAAAGTAATATATGAGAACAGGGGCTACCCACGTGAATATCATCAAATTTGGGGTGTTTGGTGTGATTCGGACTATTCTTTGAATGCCAATAGATGATGATTGTATCTACCTCTATATGAACACATTTATGAGATGTACGGTGTGACAGATCCAACCAGAACAGGGGCTTTTGGAGGGGAGGTCTGTCACACACAAGACCTGTATTTGCAGGCAGTAACTGCAGTCTGTTTGCTTCTTAAGCAGTTCATACATGGGTCGAATTCTGAACAATTTTTTGATCAAACATTGAAAACATATTTCGTTCTGTAATCTGATGGTGCCCCCAATGATTTTGAAAATCGGTAGATTTTCACAAATTTTCCAGCATGCCCGATAAATTAAATGGGGAGGAACCACAAAAATCGTCCGATGCCATTGCCCCACTAACAGAGTGAAAATTCTGTAAATTTACTTCTCATGCAACAAACAGGGTAAAAAAATAAGATTTAATAATATATAAAACGTCCAGTTTAAGAAAGAGACAGAGGGAGGAAAGACAGCAGGGGTAGTCCTTGCTCTAATTACAGTATATCACTGGTATAAGTATACCGTAATTATGCTATAAAGGACTTTTATAGCATCAACAGTATGAGAAAATTTCAGCTTGAGCTGCTGAACTTTTCTTGCTGGCTTAATATAAAAGTACCAAATAATATACAAGAACTATAATAAAAAAAAAAAAAAAAAATATATATATATATATATATATATATATATATATATATAATATATACAGTGAAGGAAATAAGTATTTGATCCCCCTGCTGATTTTGAATGTTTGCCCACTCACAAAGGAATGGTCAGTTTAAAAATCAAATGGTAGGTGTATTGTAACACTGAGAGACAGAACAGCAACAAAAAATTCAAAAGAAATGCATGTCTAACAAATGATGAACTTATTTGCATGTTCATGAGGGAACTAAGTATTTGATCCCCTATCATTCAGCAGGATTTCTGGCTACCAGGTGTCTTTCATACAGGTAACAAGCTGAGATTAGAAGCAGTCTCTTAAAGGGAGTGCTGCTAATCTCATTTTGTTACCTGTATAAAAAGACACCTGTCCACAGGAGCAATCAAACAATCAGATTCCAAACTCTCCACCATGGCAAAGACCAAAGAGCTGTCCAAGGATGTCAGGGACAAATTGTAGATCTACACAAGGCTGGACTGGGCTACCAAACTATTGCCAAGCAGCTTGCTGAGAAGGTGGTGCAATCATTGGAAGAAACACAAAACAACTGTCAGTTTCCCTAGGTCTGGTGCACCATGCAAGATCTCACCTCGTGGAGTGTCAATGATCATGAGAACAGTGAGGAATCATCCCAGAACTACACGTGAGGATCTTGTCAATGATCTTCAGGCAGCTGGGACCACAGTCACCAAGAAAACAATTGGTAACACACTACTCTGACAAGGATTGTAATCCTGCAGTGCCTCTGCTGAAGAAAGCACATGTCCAGGCCCGTCTGAAGTTTGCCACTGAACATCTGAATGATGCAGAGGACGACTGGTTGAAAGTGTTGTGGCCAGATGAGACTAAAATCGAGCTCTTTGGCATCAACTCAACTTGCCGTGTTTGGAGGAAGAGGAATGCTGCCTATGACCCCAAGAACACCATCCCAACTGTCAAACATGGTGGTGGAAACATTCTGCATTGGGAGTGTTTTTCTGCTAAGGGGACAGGACAACTGCACCGCATCAAAGGGACGATGGACGGTACAATGTACCATCAAATCTTGGGTGAGAACTTTCTTCCCTCAGCCAGGGCACTGAAAATGGGACGTAGATGGGTGTTCCAGCATGACAATGACCCAAAACACACGGCAAGGCAACAAAGGAGTGGCTCAAGAAGAAGCACATTAAGGTCCTGGAGTGGCCTAGCTAGTCTCCAGACCTTAATCTGATTTAAAATCTGTGGAGGGAGCTGAAATTTTGAGTTGCCAAACATCAGCCACCAAACCTTAATGACTTGGAAAGGATCTGCCAAGAGGAGTGAGCCAAAATTCCTCCTGAGATATGTGCAAACCTGGTGGCCAACTACAGGAAACGTCTGACCTCTGTGATTGCCAACAAGGGATTTGCCACCAAGTACTAAGTCATGTTTTGTGAAAGGGATCAAATACTTATTTCCCTCATGAACATGCAAATCAGTGCATCATTTGTTAGACGTGCATTTCTTATTAATTTTTTGTTGCTATTCTGTCTCTTAGTGTTACAATACACCTACCATTCGGTTTTTAAACTGATCATTTCTTTGTGAGTGGGCAAACATTCAAAATCAGTAGGGGATCAAATACTTATTTCCTTCACTGTATATATACACACACTCACTCACTGACCACCTTATTGGGTACACCTGTTCAATTGCTAATCAGCCAATCACATGGCACTAAATCAATGTATTTAGGCATCTAGACATGGTGAAGACAACTTACTGAAGTCCAAACCAAGCATCAGAATGGGGAAGAAAGGGGATTTAAAACAGAGCTCCATCCAAAAGGGGAAGTTCGGCTTTAAGCCTTTGTCCCCCGCATCCCATTAAGGATTGGCACCTTTGGGGAGCGCGTACTTGAATTTGACAGGTACCTGCTCCCATTTCTGCTGCGATAGCCAAGATGATCGAAAGCGGAAGTTATCCTCCCACCTCCCTCCCTGTAGTCTTCTGGGACACGTGACAGGTCCCAGAAGACTACAGGTGGCCATTCACAAAGCATAGCACTTCTCGTGCATGCACAGTGGACACCTAGCTGTGAAGCTGCAAGCTGTCACAGCAGGGTGCCCACACTGAAGGGAGAGAAGACGACCAGTAAAACCAGCAGTGGTGAAGACACCGCTGGACCGAGCTACAGTTTTTGTAGCTGCTGACTTTCTTTTTTTTTTTTTTTAGATGGAACTCCACTTTAAGTGAATTTGAACATGGCATGGTTGTTGGTGCCAGATGGGTTGGCCTTGCTATTTCAAAAACTGCTGAAATACTGGGATTTTCACACACAACCATCTCTAGGGTTTACAGAGAATGGTCCGAAGGAGAAAAAAAATATTCAGTGAGCAGCATTTGTGTGGATGATAATGCCTTGTTGATGTCAGAGGTCAGAGGAGAATGGGCAGACTGGTTTGAAATTATAGAAAGGTAACAGTAACTCAAATAACCACTTGTTACAACCAAGGTATGCAGAATACCGTCTCTTAACGTAGAACATGTCAAACCTAGAAGCAGAAGGGCCACACCAGCAGAAGACCACACCGGGTGCCACTCCTGTCAGCTAAGAACAGAAAACGGAGGTTACAGTTTGCACAGGCTCACCAAATTGGACAATAGAAGATTTGAAAAATGTTGCCTTGTCTGTTGAATCTCGAGTTGCCTAGAGATGGTTGTGCGTGAAAATCCCAGTAGATCAGTACTTTTTGAAATACTCATTCCAGCCCGTCTGGCACCAACAACCTTTCCAGGTTCAGAGTCAACTAAATCCCCTTTCTTCTGCATTCTGATGCTTGGTTCGAACTTCAGAAAGTTGTCTTCACCACATCTAGATGCCTTATCCGGATTCTCTGTTCTACAAGCCTATAGACCAACGCAAAATGGCGCCCGTGTTCTCACACATGCGCAGTAGCGTCAGGTCTTCGGCAAAATGGCGCTTATCGATTATGGCGCAATTTTTTGATTTTTGACACTACAAATAGCCCATAGATAACGTCTGATAGCTTATGGAGCACACCCCTTTTGAAAAAGAACTGTAGTTCGACATGTGTCAAGGAAGGAGCCCTGTATGCCCAGACATTATACCGCCGGATCACGGAGGTCCAGCGGTCACCTTTTGGTACCAACTGGTCAGTGTTTTATCAAGCAATTTTACTGATATACCTACTGTGCACTATTTTGAACCATAGTGTATGTTTTACTTCTAACCTTTTATCTATACCATTAAAATATTTGTGATTTTAAATACTACACTATGGGTATCCCCCCTTTATTTTGCTCTGCAACAAGCACTTTAAATTTCCCAGCGATATCCTGATGACCATCCCAATATCTGTAATGCGGGGGTTACCCACGCATCTCCTTAAAGAGAACCTCGGTTGACTGCCCTTTCCTGTGATTAAATGGAGTTCTGACTACCGCCAGGCTGTATCCAGACCTGCCCAGTGAAGGGACACCAGATAAAGCTACCTTTATATGATACAACGCGCTTATTCTAAGCGCATCTGGTGAGTGTGCATTTTATTCATTTTCTCCAACACCTGAGTATTATCAAGTCCATTGGGATTATTAGCGTCATCAGGAGGCCTGTTTTTGACGAACTGTGTTTATTTATATAAACAAAGATATAAAACTTTTCCCTTTCACAAATAAGTGACAAAAAAATAATAAAACATACAGATAAAAATGAAAAAAAAAATGAAAAAAAATGGTCCAAAATATCAAAATATCCAAAATAATCCAAAATAATATCCAAAAATTCAAAAATAATCCCCACAGGTGTAAATAATTTTCTTTCTTCTTTCAAAAACTCCTTCTCAATACCCGCAAATCCTTATGACAGTACACCTCAAAAAGAAAAAAACTCAACATAGTGTCATACCTTTTAAATAATAAATCACACGTGCCACTCACTGTGCAGCATGCAAATTCTATATGTGTGTATACTCTATGCACGAGCATACAATACACATATATATATTTATAGTGAATATATGTAAAACACTCTCACATAGAAGAGTGTCCTAAGCCCAAAGTGTAAAACAGCTCCAACACATCACTGCAAGTGTGTATCACCACACCCTATATACATCAGTGATCAGTGAAATGACACTCTCCAACACATATACTGATGGGTAATTACCCTATATAAGAAATATCAAGGCACAGCACCACTCAGGGTTAGATATCTCCTCATCACGATTTCCTCCAATATTAGGGTTTTTCTTCCATTATCCTCAAGTAAATCCACAATCCCAGATACTGTATAAAAAATCCTCCTTTATTTGGTAACTCACATACACATTTCAGTGAAAACAGCTCCTCCTCACAGGGAATCCAAGTATAGGCAGAATCAGGGAAACATTGGCCACATGTTCCCACTTCCAAGATGGCCGCGATCGCACTCCCGCTCAGCGTCGATACGTCTGACGTCCGTGAGGGACACGTGACGTCAGACGTATCGACGCTGACCGGAAGTGCGATCGCGGCCATCTTGGAAGTGGGAACATGTGGCCAATGTTTCCCTGATTCTGCCTATACTTGGATTCCCTGTGAGGAGGAGCTGTTTTCACTGAAATGTGTATGTGAGTTACCAAATAAAGGAGGATTTTTTATACAGTATCTGGGATTGTGGATTTACTTGAGGATAATGGAAGAAAAACCCTAATATTGGAGGAAATCGTGATGAGGAGATATCTAACCCTGAGTGGTGCTGTGCCTTGATATTTCTTATATAGGGTAATTACCCATCAGTATATGTGTTGGAGAGTGTCATTTCACTGATCACTGATGTATATAGGGTGTGGTGATACACACTTGCAGTGATGTGTTGGAGCTGTTTTACACTTTGGGCTTAGGACACTCTTCTATGTGAGAGTGTTTTACATATATTCACTATAATATATATATGTGTATTGTATGCTCGTGCATAGAGTATACACACATATAGAATTTGCATGCTGCACAGTGAGTGGCACGTGTGATTTATTATTTAAAAGGTATGACACTATGTTGAGTTTTTTTCTTTTTGAGGTGTACTGTCATCAGGATTTGCGGGTATTGAGAAGGAGTTTTTGAAAGAAGAAAGAAAATTATTTACACCTGTGGGGATTATTTTTGAATTTTTGGATATTATTTTGGATTATTTTGGATATTTTGATATTTTGGACCAATTTTTTCATTTTTATCTGTATGTTTTATTATTTTGTCACTTATTTGTGAAAGGGAAAAGTTTTATATCTTTGTTTAATTAACCTTCAAGGGTGGAGGTGATAACTTTTCTGGGATATTATAAGGTGATTTGTTGCTGTGCATAAATTTATGTGTTTATTTATATGTTTATCTAAGTTTATTTTATGACATTTTATGATATTTTATGATATTTTATGAAACGCAGGTATAACTAAGGTACGTTTTGCCTAGAAGTTTTACATGGACTCTTAACTTAATTATTATTTATTGGGTATCACCTCTTTTAAACTCTATATTTATGATACACGTTCATGAATTCAAATTTTTTAGCGCTGCACTTTCTATGTGTATATTTTATCTGAAGGATTTGGGATTTTTAGCTCAGTGCATTTGCTGCTATCAAAACCTAGCGCTTGCTTTATTTCTTTTGTACATCTAGATGCCTAAATGCATTGAGTTGCTGCCATGTGATTGGCTGATTAGCAATTTGTGTTACCAAGCAATTGAACAGGTGTACCTAATAAAGTGGCCAGTGAGTGCAGTATTATATGTTTATCACACACACACATATACTGTACATATATACATACACATATATTGAAACACACAAAGCTATACCTTGTAAGTAACAAATACGAGGTTCAGGGTGCTTCTTCGTTAACCGCCCCATATAGAATTCACTTCCAAAGTCTTCTGTGCGGATGGAGGCACCATATTTCAGAAGCCCTACTTCATATGGTGTAAACTCACACCACTCTGGAAAGAAATAACATATAAATACAAAATAGAGGCAGCACATCAACACACAGGGCCAAAAGCAAAGGCCACTTTGCTAGACCTACAGACTATAAAGCTGTGGAGGTAGACTTTTTTTTTTATTACATCTAATTTGCTGTCAGTGTTTTGTGGAGTTATAAATATTAGCTAGAAATATAAAGAAAATGTATGCAGTCGGAGATTATGACACTTTTTAAAGATTAGTAAAAATATATAAAAAAAATCAGCACAAGGGACATTACATACTGGCAGCATGATGTGTCTCTTGTGTTGCTTTCTCCTGGTTTAGTAGAAAAAGGGGGCACTCACCAAGAGTATACAAAAATATGGCAACCACCACAAATTATAACTGAAATTAAACACTCCTGCGCCACAGGATAATCTCCAACCACAGGTATGAGATGCTGCTGTGCACTAGTGTAAAACACCAAATCATAAAAACAAAAATAAAACAGCGCAAAACAATACCTACACCAAATTAATTATACATAATGTAAAATAATATACCATATAAATTATATTATAATGTCCAAATAAACTTAACGTGTCCAAAACAACTCAAAAAACATATAGTCCTTCCTCCCAAACTCCAAAGTGCTTCCATAAAGAAATAAGTTATCCTTCTTTGATTTATGTTTCCACCATCCACCAGTGCAAACCAACATGAACCGCACTCACCAGATAATGGTGAATAGTAGGCCTTTTAGGACTTTCTGGGATCCTACACCCCCTCTATAGCCTCCAGACCTCCATTCCACCATACAGGGCTAGGATGATCCTTCCACTCCCTCCTTGATAGGGACCTCCAAACCCACTCCACAGTTGTGCCAAAGGAAAACATTGAAGATAGTGTGATATTGCTAATGACCATATAGAATATATATAATAATACCAGGCCACTCACATTTTACAAAATCCATAAAAGCATGTTTATTAGCCTCCACCGGCCGGTTAAAGTACACACACCCATCCAGGAACAGCTCCAGAAATCTCATAGTAGAGGATGACAGTATGTAAGACAGATCCCAAAATGGCCGCTTGAAACGCACCACTCAGCGTGCGTTCCACTCACCGGAAGTTGCGCAAGACGTTCAGATGGCAGACCGGAAGTGCGTCAATGCATTTTGACCCTCCCACTGCATCAACGCGTTTCACCCCTCTTTGAGAACGCCCAGTGGGAGGGGTGAAACGCGTCAACGCACTTCCAGTCTGCCGTCTGAACGTTTTGCGCAACTTCCGGTGAGTGGAACGCACGCTGAGCGGTGTGTTCCAAGCGACCATTTTGGGATCTGTCTGTCTTACATACTGTCATCCTCTGCTAATCGAGCTGTGAGATTTCTTCTGGAGCTGTCCTGGAGCTGATGGCAGACCGGAAGTGCGTCGACGCATTTCGTCCCTCCCACTGCATCAGCGCGTTTCACCCCTCTTTGAGAACGCCCAGTAGGAGGGGTGAAACGCATCAACGCACTTCCAGTCTGCCGTCTGAACGTCTTGCGCAACTTCCGGTGAGTGGAACGCACGCTGAGCGGTGCATTTCAAGCGGCCATTTTGGGATCTGTCTTACATGCTGTCATCCTCTGCTATGAGATTTCTGGAGCTGTTCCTGGATGGTGTGTGTACTTTAACCGGCCGGTGGAGGCTAATAAACATGCTTTTATGGATTTTGTAAAATGTGAGTGGCCTGGTATTATTATATATATTCTATATGGTCATTAGCAATATCACACTATCTTCAATTTTTTCCTTTGGCACAACTGTGGAGCGGGTTTGGAGGTCCCTATCAAGGAGGGAGTGGAAGGATCATCCTAGCCCTGTATGGTGGAAGGGAGGTCTGGAGGCTATAGAGGGGGTGTAGGATCCCAGAAAGTCCTAAAAGGTTTACTATTCACCATTATCTGGGGAGTGCGGTTCATGTTGGTTTGCACTGGTGGATGGTGGAAACATAAATCACAGAAGGATAACTTATTTCTTTATGGAAGCACTTTGGAGTTTGGGAGGAAGGATTATATGTTTTTTGAGTTGTTTTGGACGAGTTAAGTTTATTTGGACATTATAATATAATTTATATGGTATATTATTTTACATTATGTATAATTAATTTGGTGTAGGTATTGTTTTGCGCTGTTTTATTTTTGTTTTTTACAAATTATAACTAGCCTTTGCAGTAAGGTGCACATGAATGAGCAACACGCATCACAAAGAAAAATTTCCCAGCACACTTACCAGCTAGCCTGAAAGCAAACCAAAATGACCCTAATAATTCACATTAACCAGTTGCGGACTCTGGGAGTGTTAGACATGCCCCAAAAAATGTCATCATTGTACACAGGGTGTCTGCAACACATCCAGTCCTTCTGCCATGCTGCCAGGACCTCCCCTGTCCCAGTACTCAGCAGTTCAGCATTTTCAGCTCTGATTAATCAAAGGCATTGTTGAGTACACAGAGAAAATTCTGACAGCTGGAGCTGTTAAAAAAAGCAGTTTGGCAATGTTTATAAACAACACTGCACAACTTTGAATACAGAAACATACAAAGAAACAATGTTTCATTTTTTTATCTACAGATCAAAGGGATAAACATCAATCTGCAGATGAAGTCAGTTAAAACAACCTGTCAAGTAAAAAAAAAAGTTTGTTTTTTTTAATTAAATGTTCCCGTGTTTAACCCCTTTTTAACCTTTTGTTTACTTTAATCAGCCCAAAGTAATTTCTTATTCTCCTACATTTAATTATTTTCCTGCTGATATTTTTCCGCTCATTTCTATTTTATGAACAAATAATATTTAAACCTTTTTTTGTTTTGTTTGTTGATATTTTTACAAGTGTAACATATCTTTATACATTTTACATTTAAAAAAACAACAAAATTAAAAAAACAAAAAACAAAAACACTTTACTTCATTTGTAAATAACTTTGCAATGCTTTGTACCAAATGTATTAATTTAGTGTAATTATAAACAGGATAAATTATAGAATAAAATGTGCACTTTGTATGTGTGGTAATACTATTTAATTTTAAACTAACACTGCTAAAAAAAAAAAGAAAAAGTGCATTTTCTTACATTTTGTTAAATTTAATTGTTTAAGGATTGTGGAAAATAAATCATTGTTGCAAGACAATATTCACAAAAATATTTATTGTCATTTAAAAAAACAATATATGTATTACAGTTTTATCTTAAGTATAAACAAAGTTATTGCTGAATAAACAGGTCCATGGCCGAAATGTAACAATTGCTCTGGTCCATAGAGCGTGAACAGGTGTGAGAGGCAAAGTGGTTAAAACAGAGGATTTTGTTGTGTACATTTGCAAATATATGTGGAAGCCTCAGTGCCCACGTCAAAGCTCCTCTGTATACTGCGGTCCTAACTCTATAGTTTCCAGAGTCTCTAATTTAGAGCATGTCTAGCAGTGGATAAATTAAGGGCAGGCTTGCCTGGTGGGCTCCCACTCCTCCTTAAAGGCACAGGGAGACACTGGATGCCCAGCATGGGCACAATGGCAGCTCAAGGCCTCCCTAACCAATTCACCAAACGTTCCTGACTATGTCCACCCTTTCCCATCCACAGAAGCTTTACAATAGCTTCTAAGAATGAAAGACCATCTATGAAAGAAAGTGGTGGATCTTTCAGTCATCCTCCTGTCCTCCATTCATAGATGCTTTTTCTACTAAACCAGAAGACAGCAACACAAGGGACACGTCACACAGATAGCAATTAATATCCTTTAAAGCCTATGTTTTTTAGTAAAAAAAAAAAAAAGCACATGGGACAAGTCCACCTTTCATAACATGTTACACCCATATTCAGGGTGTAACATGTTACAAAAAGACTGGGCCATGCTCGCAACCTCCCCCCCCCCCCCCCCCCCCCACCTTCCCCCATTATGATAGTTAGTGAGGGATCTTCTCCCCTGCTAGCTGTCACAATTGAAAAAAAAAAACGTGGACATGAGGAGCTGGTGGCTTGTAGTTCTCAATAAACTACCAGGGTGATGTTGAGTGCCGTGGTAGTTCATTGATTCTTTCTGTCAATGTGTATCTGCTTGCACGAGATACGATCAGACTGATTACACCGACAGTGTGCAGGAGTCCTGCATAGCACCAGTGATCTGCTGATTGCTGGTGCAATGCTTTCCAGGCTCCCAAAGTGAAAAATAGTAAATGTACATTTTTTTACCTGCAAAAAAAATTGCATTTATTATTTTTTTGTTAAAAGGTAAACTTATCCTTTACGGATTAATTGATAGGTATATTCATATTCATATGTATTCAAGCTGACAAAACAGGGTTTCCAAATATTTTTGTCAAAGAGTGTCCAGCTCAAAAAATTAAAGGAGCCCTTGGCTTTTTTTGTGGCAGGGAGCAATGAGTTTAATTTTCCCATACAAGTTTGAAGCAATACCTTTAAAGTCCAGTGTGCTGATTGCATCCTGCTTTACATTCATAGCCAGGTAAATAGGTAAGGGATTCTGGCCATTCTCCAAGGCTGATTGTTGATCAGAAAGCCTGCTTTCATTTCTCTGCAAAGTAATAAGTTATATTACACCCATGGCTATGCTTTAAACACAACAAAATAATCAACTGTTCAACCTGATAAAAGTCAAGAAGGTAAAAGAGTAAAGTTAGACATTTTGGTATTAAAGAGATGCAAACTAAGCAGAGTATTTCATGGCCATGTCAGCCGCCTTACACTGGACAACAGTGTCTTGTGCTGTTTTTAATCACTATGTTCCCAGACAAAGATTTACTAAGGCTCCTTTCACACTGTTTTATAGGTGGACCTGGTAAGAATTTCCATGCAGCTCTATGGGAAGGCCATCTAGGTCCAAGAAGAAAAAAAAATGCAAACCAGATCTAGTTCTCAACTCCTCATCTCACTCAGTCTCTTTTCACATTACTAACTGACATGTCGCATCACTTCCTTAAAGTTTCTCTAAAAATTAGCTGATAATATTCCTCTCTGCTCATGCCCTCCTCCATGACTTTTCCATCAAGATCAATAATGCAGCTATCAGTCCATCCCCTCAATCCAGGGTACTATGTATAATCCTAGACTCTGACCTATCTCTTTGGACCCAAATCCAATCCCTGTCAAAAAGCTTGTAGACTTCACCTCCGTAACATCTCTAAAATTCGGTCACTTTTTAACTAATAAAACCACCAAGCTACTCATTCGCTCCCCTTGTTATCTCTCACCTTGACTATTGCAACTCCCTTCTCATAGGCTTAATCCTTATGTAAATGAAGGACACAAGTCCAATTACATCTGAAAGCCCAAAAAGCCACCATGGATCTGCAGTTAAAATGTGGACTGAGACTCAACATTCACTGATGTCACAAAACCAACATCCATCCTGCTCTAAGTGCATGCGACAGGGCATCTCTAATGGCCTAAAAATGGGTCCATGATTCCAAATCAATTTAACACCTCAAACAGAGAACCACTGTTTGGAGAAAAACAAATTCTGATTGGTTGCTAGAGGAAATCTCTTTAATGTGAGGTAAGTTCCTCCTTTAGACAGTTTTCACCTCTTGTCTGGTGCTAACTGTAAAATGTGAGATTTTCCATCACTTTCTGTCCTGTAACAATGGGCTCCAGGACAAATAAAGAGGGTGAATATACCTGGGAAGGCAGCACTAACAACCTGACTGACAGGGGGTCTAACCTTTCCCTACTCTACCCAAAATTAAACAACGTGACTTGAGACACACTTTTGTTCTTGCATTGTTTACTGAATAAAGGTGTTTTACTTAATAAAATGAACATCACCAACAATGAGCTAAGGAAAAAAATACTGTATGGCTTATAATCTGCAAGGATTATACAGTGTTGTGAAAAAGCATTTGCCCCCTCGCCCCTCCTAATTTTTTTTTTGCATATTTGTCACACTTAAAATGATTCAGCTCATCAAACAAATTTTAATATTTCACAAAGAGAACCAAGTTAATACAAAATGCAGTTTTTAAATTGAGTTATTTATTAAAAGAAAAAATTTGTCCACACCTGCCTGGCCCTATGTGAAAAAGTAATCCCGCCTTTGCTAAATCATGAATGAACTAAGGGTTACAAGGCCATTTCTAAGGCTTTGGGTCTCCAGTGAACCAAGGTGAGAGTCATTATCCGCAAATGGAGAAAACTTGGAACGGTGGTGAACCTTCCCAGGAGTGGCTGGCCTACTAAAATTACTCCAAGAGCAAGACGATGAGTCATCCAGGAGGTCATAAAAGAACATCTAAGGAACTGCAGGCCTCACTTGCTTCAGTTAAGGTCAGTGTTCATGATTCAACAATAAGAAAGAGACTGGGCAAAAATGGCATCCAGGGGAGAGTTCCAAGGCGAAAGCCACTGCTGACCAAAAAGAACACAAAGGCTTGTCTCAAAATTGATAAAAAACATCTTGATTATCCCAAAGACTTTAGGGCAAATATTCTGTGGACTGATGAGACAAAGGTTATGGAAGGTGAGCGTCCCGTTACATCTGGCGTAAAACTAACATAGCATTCTAATAAAAAGAACATTATACCAACAGTCAAACATTGTGGTGGTAGTGTGATGGTCTGAGGCTGCTTTGCAGCTTCAGGTCCTGGACGACTTGCCATAACTGATGGAACCATGAATTCTGCGCTCTACCAGAATATCCTGATAGAGAAAGTATAACCATCAGTTCGTGATCTCAAGCTCACGCGCAATTGGGATATGCAACAGGGGGTTTAAGGGGCAATTACGGTTTTACAGGCAGGTTTGGACAGCTTATTTCCCTTAAAAAATTAAATCATGTTTTAAAAATTGCATTTTGCAGTTACTCTGGTTATCTTTGTGTAATATTAAAATTTGCTTGATGACCTGAATCATTTCAGGTCATCATCATCGTTTGACAAATAAGCAAAAAAAAAAACCAGGAAGGGTGCAAATACTTTTTCACAGCACTATAGCTAAACTGGATTAAAATTTATAGGCCACATATTTATTCTTAGAAATATCTTACCCCATTAAAGAACATTGATTCGATCATCAGCCCCCAGAGGTCAGTAAATGACGTTCTCTGACCATTCTTGGCAGCTTGTCGGAGCTCTTTGCGATAGTATTTCAGCCTCTGCATTGACAAGGTGTTTATTTTCTTCCTGGTCACTTGCTTCTTTGCATTGCTTATTGTATCTGAAAGCTCCTTTTGTGACCACTCAGGGTCTTCATAAAGTTGACTCATGGTCCTAATTAAAAGAAAAACATAAATAAATAAAACAAAAAACGGAACGACAAATACAAATAAGTGGAAAATCACTCTCTCAATCAACATTGACTATTTTGAATCCTTATGCTACTAGCATTAGTAAATAGATAGTAGAGTATATCATATTTACTTGTGTTAAAAACTGTTTTTTACATTTCTTTAGTTACTTCCTAGTTTCCATGCCTAGGCAAATTATGTCACCCTCCTGCCTGCATGCCTGAGCTAAGGGCAGATGGATTAAAGGAAGTCAATGCTACATGAATTACCTGCCCTCACTCAAGATGGCCACAGCCAGAATGCTAGGGGGTCTTTTTCTAAGTGATTTCTCAGCAAAATAAAGCATGGAGACATGAATGGATGGGTGTGTTTGACTGAATATTAAAAATAAATCAAATGGCTCTTTTGGTTTGTGGTGCTCAGATACAGTGTAGCTTCACTTTAAGTTGATTTCTGCTATCTAGGATTGTGTAAAGTGCCCCAACTTGGCAAGAAAATCTTACATTTACAAGTTTACATTATTGTGTATAAACTCTTACCATGTAGACCCAGAGGCCCCTGCAATGTATGTGATGCAGTCCAGCAGGCCCATCTTTCGTAGCCCACACAGATGACTGTATAAAGAGGACATAGCTCGGGCTCCTCCACCTGTTGCCATGACAGCCACAACCGGAATCTACATTTATTAAAAAAAGAAACTTTAACTATTGGAACACTGAGGTTAATATAACTGCACAATGTATACCACGGGGACATGGCACAGGCCAGGAGCTTTCAAATGTACTATGCAACTATGGTTTCTGAATGTTAAAGTTCAACTGCAGCCAAACAGCTAAATATACCAATGAAATAAATTAATGGGAGCGGTTTCACCCGCCAAATGATTTGTATTTGTGTCCATCTAGTCCTGATATTTACACAGCTCTGTCACACAGCACAGCCCTGTCTAGAAAGAAATGGAACCTGTTTTTAATCTGCTACAGGTCAAGAGGAACTTCATTCTGGAGAAAAAAAATAAAAGTCAGCAACTAAAAATACTGTAGCTGTTGATTTTTTGATAAACATGCACTTACAATCCAGTGATCCAGCTCTGTCTTCACCTGGGACAGTTCTTTGTTGATGGTTGGGTCCCTGGCACCACCATCTTAGAAGTGAGAAGGTGGCTGTGACTTAACAGCTTGCTCTCCAGCGTGCATCCATGAGATGTGCTTTCTGAATGGTCCTGCAGTCTCTTGGGACCTGTACTGTGTCCCAGAAGGAAGAGGCCAACAAGGAAGGGAGGGCACATTTACACTGGACTAGCTGAGTGGAAGTGGGTACCTGCCTGAAATACACACTCCCATAAAAAAAAAAAAAAATCCAAAACTGAGAGGAGAAAAAGAAGAACATCTCTTTTCGGGTGAAACTCCTCTTGAAATAACACTCCCTCCCAAAGCCTGTGACTGGACAGTGAATTGAAAAGAAGCACATGAATGAGCTCAACTCTTTGTCATTGCATCATACCTGATTGGCTCATTGTGCTACTTCTCCCTCTCCTAGTGTGAGCTCTGCTGTGCACAAGCTGTTACCAGGTTACATTCTGGTACTTATGCTGCTTCTAAACCCCCCAAAAACACATGTAATGAATGTCTCTTATATCTGCCTGGAATTATTCTTTAAAGAGGAGCATTGTTTTTTTTTATGTCAGTAGCTACAAATACTGCAGCTGCTGACTTTAAAAATATCAGGCACTTAGTACCACGGAGGGTTCCTTTTGCTGCCATCTTGGATAAGGGAGCTGGCGGTGTCTTCCTAAGGAACCAAAGCCATCTTCTCATTCTGCGTGCAGGAGCTTGTGCAATGCTCACTACACATGTCCCAGGAGGCTGTGGGATAAAGGACATCATCCATGCCTAGGTGCAGATTGCAGAAGTGGGAGCAGGTACTGATAAAAATTGGTATTTACCCCCCCCCCAAAAAAAATATATAATGCATTAAGGTAAAAAAAACTTCAGGCTTTAGAACCACTGTAGCTCATCTGTCTTGTGCTGATCACTACATGACGATATATCTGAGTATTGCATCTTCCCTGTAGTTCTGAGTCTAACAAATAACAACATGTATACCTGAGGATATAGCAGAATGTTAAAATTCTCACCTCTTCAGCCACCAAATCCTGCTCCAGCTGTAGGACTTTTTTTAGCGCATCAGCTACAACTTGCTGACGTTTGTGAAGAAATGTCTTCTCTTTGTCACACAGATCAAACCCCAGTCTCACATCCAGCTTTTCTGGACTAAAAACATGAAAATATCATATTAAAAACATTATTTAAAACGCAGTCCACCCAGGAACCTTAGTAATGAATTTCAGCTAATCAGAAAGAAATTATAATGAAATTAATTATCCAAATTTAGATTTCAAAATGAATTTGAATTCAAAATGGAAACATATTGAACATATCTCCCTCTTTCTGTAGGGGTCCCTCAAGTTTCTGTCCTTGGACCCCTTCACTTCTCCATCTACACCTCCTCCCTTGGTCACTTGATAAACTCCCACGGCTTTAAGTACCATCTCTATGCTGATGACACACAAATCTATCTTTCTACCCCTCACCTCACCTCTTCAGTCTCCTCTCGCATTACTAACCTACTAAGTGATATATCGGCATGGATGTCACTCCACTTCCTCAAACTCAATCTTTCCAAAACTGAGCTCTTAGTATTCCCCCCAGCCCATGCCCCCTCCCCTGACTTCTCCATCAAGATCAATAACACAATCATCAGTTCCTCCCCTCATGCCAGGGTACTAGGTGTAATCCTAGACTCCCATCTGTCCTTTCACCCCCAAATCCAATCACTGTCCAAATCTTGTAGACTTCACCTCCACAACATCTCCAAGATACGCCCGTTCCTAACCACGGAAACCACTAAGCAACTTATTCACTCCCTTGTTATATCTCGCCTTGACTATTGCAACTCCCTCCTCATTGGCCTACCTCACCGCAGGCTATCCTCTCTTCAGTCTATCATGAATGCTGCTGCCAGACTCATCCACCTTACTAACCATTCTGTATCTGCCACCCCTCTCTGCCAATCCCTCCACTGGCTTCCCATTGCCCAACGGATAAAATTCAAAACACTGACAATAACGTATAAAGCCATTTAGAACTCTGCCCCAAATTACATCACCAATCTTGTCTCTAAATATCACCCAAACCGTACTCTCCGCTCCTCGCAAGACCTCCTACTCTCTAGCTCCCTTGTCTCCTCCTCCCATGCTCGTCTCCAGGACTTCTCCAGAGCTTCCCCATCCTCTGGAAATCTCTACCCCAATTTATCAGACTATCGCCTACACTGCTCACTTTAGGCGATCTCTGAAAACCTATCTCTTCAGGAAAGCCTATCCTGCCCTCAGCTAATAATGGAATCTTCTACTCTTCCTACCAGTCCATCCCCCACAGTTACTACCTTTTGTACCATTAGCCCCTCCCTCCTAGATTGTAAGCTCCAAGGAGCAGGGCCCTCAAATCCCTCTTGTATTGAACTGTATTGTTGCTGTATTGTCTCCCGTTATATTGTAAAGCGCTGAGCAAACTGTTGGCGCAATATAAATCCTGTATAATAATAATATTGCAATAAACGCAGTAAGGTATAAGCGTGAAATAAGATGATGATTCCTACTCATGCTGCTTTATAGAAAAGAATAGAATAAAACAGAATAGAATAGAAAATAAAAGAATAGCATAGAAAATAAGAGAATGGATCAGAATAAAAAATAAAGGAATAGTATAGAAAATAAAAGAATAGAATATAATAGAAAAGAACAGAAAAGAGTAGAATAGAAAAATAGAATATAATAAAATAGATAGAATATAGCAATCTTCCTAAATTAAAATTTCAAATCAATTTGAAAGTAATGAATATACGACACAAATCCGAATATATGAAACTAATTCCGAAAATAAATCATTCTAACTTAATGAATATGATGAGACATTTTTAACTTATTGATCAAATCCGAAAAAAAATTTCTACCCACCCAAACTCTGTTAGAGACAGAGGAAACACACCTCAAATCCTGCTAGAGAGCCAGTGAGTACATTCACCTCAAACTCTGTTAGAGCCAGTTAGTATACCTTTAGTGATAGAGAGGTGCCAAAGAACTGACTGTTGTACACTTACTAAAAATGTAACTTTTATCCATAATGGCAGCAGCTGATACCAAGAGGAAGTGTCAGACGCATCCAAAATTATTATATTTAATTGTTATTATTGACATTATTCATAATACTAATAATTAAAGTAGTATGTACTAAACTGTTTTAGTATAATAAATATCTGGGGGTCTATGAAAAATCTGAAACTTTATGAAGATTTTGACCCCTGATTAATAATACCTTTGAACTGAAATGGATCATGCCTTGTTGTAATCTGAGATAATCAATTTATGTTGTTGGTAAGACCATAATTGCCAGTATCTAAGCTGGGCTCAAGTACCCTGTAATGTTGGTTATACGACGTATAGTCAGGTTCCATCCCTTACATGTACACTCATAGTTTACTATTTTTATCAAGGATTCGACTAGTCACAGCCTTAATTTGCTGAGTTCCATTTGGAATGTACACGTAAACATTCAGGAGCCTGAAAAGATGATGACTAAGTGTTTCCTGAGCTGCAGAGAGTCTTGTGAGAGAGATGTATTTAGCAACAAGAATCAATTGGTTCCAAAATAAAGTGAAGCAAAATACAACTATAGTGTTAATTTCATGATTTCGTATAACGCCTTGTAAGCAATAGCCTGCTTGAATGCTAATAAGCATGACTTGCTATAGCCCCAGAAAATATCAGTTTGTGGAAATGATTATTAGAACATGACCTGGCCTATTTAATAGGGCAGTGCAGGCAGGGCCATGGATAAAGGGGAACCACCAGTCCTAAGTATGGGGCCCAGGCCAGCAAGGGTCCCAGGCAGCAGGGTGTGAATCAGATGTGGACAGGGAGGGTGATCGGAATGGTGGTGGGGCATTTACTGGAACCGATCCCCTGTATGGCTCTCTCTGCAGCAGCTGAAACCTGGCTTCTTCTCTTCTCCCTCTCGCTGGATTTCAGCTGCTGCAGAGAGAGCCATACAGGGGATCAGTTCCAGTAATTGCCCACACCACACCCATAGCCCGCCCTGTGTACCATATGTTTCCCCCTGCTGACCAGGCCCCCTGTCTGCCCCCACTCCTGCAGTGCTGCCAGCTTCCCTTCTCTCCTTCTCCCCAGCAGCTGCAAGCTTACAATAGGATTCTTCAGGATGGAGAGTGGGGGAAGGGTCTGCTAAATATGTCATATTTACCAGCCCCTTTCTTTTTGTGAATGAACACAACGAGGGATTGATACCGATCACTCTGTGTTCATTCATAACTGAAGCCTAGTAAACTGTGATTTTTGTATTTGGGGGGGGGGGGGCTGTCAGGTTGGCTGCATGGGGCCTTGTGGTTTCTAACAGCAGCCCTGAGTGCAGGTACAAATGATAACCAATCAAACACATTTTTACTCATTACTCTACAGTAAACTAAAAGCTTGTATGTGCTATGGATTATTTAACTTTGTACCTTACAATATTGTATTGGTAAAGCCAGGCTGAGATAGGCGGACAGTGCAAATAGCAATGATGATGTACAAAATCCAGAATTCCACAAAAAATGAAGTCAGAAGGAATAGACCAATGGATCTACAGCACTATACTATGCAATGCAGTATGAATCACTTCTCTATACATTGTACATTAGCAGAAAATTTACCATTCTTTTGCTTTAATTTGGATTTCCAATGGCTTGACCTGTAAAAAAAAAAATATCTAAATAAGTTTAATATTACAATACTATTCAGTAGCTTTCTATTGGAAAGTTTTAATTTTGTTATAAATTGATATACAAACTGTATTCGCTACACAAGCCATTTTGTAATTTTGTTCAAATTAAAGTCAGCCTGTTGCATTTGATAGTGCAGCATCCCCAGCAAGGACCTTTGGCTCTGCACTGGGAGGTTTTTCTTGGGTGACATTTGCCACTCCCACCTGGGAAGGACCCAAAGTTTATTTTTTTTATTAGACTGATCAGATAGTACACATAGATATTCTTACTTGCAGCAAGTGTGCTGGTATGGCCTATGTCATAATTTACAGAACAGAAACAAGATCTGCAGTTTTTACTGTTACAATCTTTGCAGTGTGGAAAACTGATTATGAAAGAACTGTTTTCTCTAAATAAAATTAGAGTTCATGTCTGGAAGTAATTTTTATTTGCTTACTAGGTTTCCTGTCTCTCAAAAAACTTGGAATAATAGGAAAGAAGGAGCACTGAATGTCCAAAGGAATGAAAGTTTTTATTTATTTGGGTAGCACAGTGGCTAAATGGTTAGCTCTTCTGCCTGGCAGTACTAGGGTCGTTGGTTCAAATACCAGCCACGGCACCACGTGCCTGGAGTTTGCATTTTTTCTCCCTGTGCCTGCGTGGGTTTCCTCCCACACTCAAAAGACATGCTGGTAGGTTAATTGGGTCCTGTCTAAATTGGCCCTAGTATGTGTACTGTATGTATGAATACGAGTTAGGGACCTTAGATTGTACGCCCCTTGAGGGTTAGGGACTGATGTGAATGTACAATATATATACAGTATGTAAAGCGCTGCATAAATTGACAGCGCTGTATAAGTACCTGAGATAAATATATTTGACAGGTTTCAGAGGAAAGAGCGACGGCTGAGGTTCCAGGGGCAGCAATGAGCCTCAGCCGTCACTCTGTCAGTTTTTCCTACGAAACCTGTCAAATATATAATTGGTGTGTGAATCTTTCCCATTTAATAGCATGCAGCAACAGCCCCGAAGAAGAGTCCTTTCTCCAGAAAATGCTTTGGCTTGATGTACTAGTCGCTATTCTCAATAAATGCCTCTTAATCTACTGTCAAACTTGACTTCTATTGGACATTGGGCGCACCTTTTTTCCTATTATTCCAAGTCTAATGCAAGCCATAGATGGCTCGTTAATCTGGCGATTTTTCGGCCGACAGAAAAATCGTCCGATATTCGTGCCGTGTGTGGGTCATTTCGTCGTCAGTTTTTCGTGTTTTTTGCTCTTTCGGATTATCGGTCATGCTGGAAAATGACCGATTTTCTTCTCATTGATGGTCAAACCGTATGATCTTTTCAACGAAAAATGTATGCGCATGTGCAGTGACCTGGAAAAAAAAAGAAGTTTCTTGCAAACTAAATTTCTTTTCCGGGACAAAATGTCAAAAGTTCTAGAAT